TATTGACCATTGTGCTTTTATTTACAGCCTGAAAAAGAATTTAAAATAGTTTTAAGAGAGGTTTAAGTGCTTTTTGGGGTGACTGTCTTCTGTAATAATAATTTCGATGGTAGGTTATTTCTTGTAGTTTAAACCCATTCTCCTGGGCTGTCCGGACCCCCGCAGTGAGATGGCATCGTACCGGCGGGTGGTGAACAGTCAGAAGTGTGTCCGCGCCGGAGGCAAACACAACGACCTGGAGGATGTGGGGAAAGACGTGTACCATCACGCCTTCTTCGAGATGCTGGGAACTGGTCATTTGGTCATTACTTCAAGGTTTGTCCAATTATTGAGTTCATTTAATGAGGCATGTTTTTCTTAATTATGATATCTGGATGCTTCATGCCCCATAAAAATATCAAAATGAATTTTAATTGAAAACACGTTCATCATGCAAGAGTTATTATTCAAGTTATCATGTGTATGAATTGCATTTTACAGAGTCCCTACAGGGACATGGTAATGAAAAAAATATATGTGACCCTGGACCACAAAACTAGTCATAAGGGTCACACACACATATATATATATATATATATATATATATATACACACACACACAAAGGATTTTTTTGAAATTGAGATTTATACATAATCTGAAAGCCAAATAGGCTTTCCATTGACATATGGTTTGTTAGGACAGGACAATATTTGGCCGAAATACAACTATTTGAAAATCTGGAATCTGAGGGTGCAAAAAAATCTAAATATTGAGAAAATCACCTTTAAAGTTGTCCAAATTAAGTTTTTAGCAATGCATATGACTAATCAAATATGAAGTTTTTATATATTTACAGTAGGAAATGTACAAAATATCTTCATGGAACATGATCTTTACCTAATATCCTAATGATTTTTGGCATAAAAGAAAAATCGATCATTTTGACCCATACAATGTATTTTTGGCTATTGCTACAAATATAACCTTGCTGCTTATGACTTTTTTTTTTTGGTTTTGTGGTCCAGGGTCGCATATGAGTTGGAAGAACATTTATATTTTAATGCGTTTGCGTTCTCTTGCAAAACTACTGCATTTACCCTAGAATCTTTGCCTTTTCTCGCAAAACATTTGCATTCTCGCAAAAATATTGCATTTCCCCGAGAAAATCTTTTTTTCGCAAAAAATATTGCATTCACCAAGAAGCATTGTATTCTCTCACAAAACTATTGCGCTCCCCCAAGAAATGGGTGTTCTCTTGCAAAAGTATTGCATTCCCCGCAGAAACTTTATCATTCTTTCACAAAAGTATTGCATTCCCCTGAGAAACTTTGCATTTTCTCGTAAAACTATTGCATTCCCCCGAGAAACTTCTCTCTCGCAAAAAGTATTTCGTTTCCACGAGAAACGTTGCATTCTCTCACTAAACATCTGTTCTCTTGCAGAATTATTGTGTTCCTCCAAGAACGCAAGCAAACGTAGTTACTTGGAGGAACTCAGTACTTGTGCATATTTTTGAATTAATTAATAATCCATCATCCAGGTGGAAGCCTGTGCAATGGCCTGGCGTCTTTTAACGGAAGAGTACGGCATTCCCGCTGATCGCTTGTAGGCTACGTCTCGTACTTCTCTGGAGATGTGGCGAACGGACTCCCTGCCGATGAGGAAACCCGGCTAATCTGGCTCAGCATGGGGTACGTTCACAAGTGCAAAGCAAAGTTGACAAACGCATTCGTTTTCTGTTGGAGATTCAATGGATTGTTGTGACGTTCACGTGCAGTGCGCGGCCGGATCACGTGTTGCCGTTCGGAATGAAGGATAACTTCTGGGAAATGGGCGAGACGGGTCCGTGTGGCCCCTGCACAGAGATTCATTAGGATCACGTTGGGAATCGGAACGCCGCCTCACTGGTCAACGCAGACAGTCCAGATGTAGTGGAAATTTGGAATCTAGTATTTATGCAGTATAACAGGTTAGAAAAGTTACTTCCAGTATTATTTGACTATTTATTGTAGTTTTTATTAATATTTTGAATGAGCTTTTATTTTTATATTTTCAAATCTCTTTTTAATTTTCTTTCAAGCTTTACAAACTTTAATGTGCAGTGGAGGCTTGTTCTGCAGGGAAGCGATGGTTCAATCTGTAGATATTACCACAATTATATTAAAAAAGACTATTAAAAACTATAAAAAATATTTAGGTTTAATTTATTTTAGTTTTGGTTCAGTTGAAAGCAATATTTCTAATCGTCATTTAATTAAGGTTTTTCATTTATTATTTATATTACATTTTTTGTAGTTTTTTGTTTTGTTTTTGTAGACATTTTTAGTAATTTTGTCATGTGCTTTTGTCATTTTAATTAGTTTTTTTTTAGTATTACTCTTTAGGTTTTAGGTTTAATATATTTTTTATTTCAATATACATTCGTGTTTTTTTTAAAGAAATTAATACTTTTATTTATCAAGAATACATTATACCAACCAAAAGTGAGAGTAAAGACATTTATAATGGTACAAAAGGTCTCTATTTCAAATAAATGCTGTTTTTGTCTTTTGAGAAACTTCAAGCATTTATTAATTATAAAATAATAAATTAAAATGTATTAAGCAGCATTGATTTTAACATTGATAATAACAGGAAATGTTTCTTAAGCAGTAAATCAGCATATTAGAATGATTTCTGAAGGACCATGTGACACTGAAGACTGCAGTAATGATGTTGAAAAGTCAGCTTTGCATCACAGGAATAAATTAAATTTTAACACAGAAAATAGTAATTTTTATTTGTAGTATTATTTTTGATCAAATAAATGTAGCCTTGGTGAGCATGTTTTTTTGAATGGTATGTATTACCGCGTTCTAAAATGCAATTAAAGTAAATATTAAAGTAAATCACTAATAATTCAATAACACACAAAAAAAATCTTTAGCAAAGTTTAAAATTATGATTTATGGTATACATCAATGTACCATGGCACTTTTTCAGTTTAGGAAAGCTGCTAGTGCAGGTACTAAATTTTGTTTTCTATACATGATATGATAAACTTTGTGCTTCCTCTGTAGATCATGGATCTCAATAATCAGAATGAAGCCCAGTTCTTGTCCTCACTGAAGCAGGGCAGGAGGGTGATTGACAGGACCCTCAGCAATATGGACAAAGACTCAGCCGTTTTTTCCAGGTAAAGCCCGCAAAGCTGTGTAATTTGCTTTTCTTATACATCTTTATTATCTTTTCAGGTTCATTAATGCTGATATTTCTCTCTATATTTGTTTTACTCTCTGTGTCCATTGCGTTGTTGTTTCTATCAGCTTCAGTCACCTGGTCGCTACATCGTAACCTGGGCTTCCCTCTAGATCTCATTGACCTGATGCTGGAGGAGAAGGGCAAGATGGTTGATAAAGTGATTAAGTGAAGTGACATGTGGCCAAGTATGATATATGATATATGATATAATTCCATACTTGGAATTAGTGCTCTGCATTTAACCCATCCAAAGTGCGCACACACACAGCAGTGAACACACACCCGGAGCAGTGGGCAGCCATTTATGCTGCGGCGCCCGGGGAGCAGTTGGGGGATCGGTGCCTTGCTCAAGGGCACCTCAGTCGTGGTATTGAAGGTGGGAGAGAGCGCTGGACATTCACTCCCCCCACCTACAATCCCTGCCGGCACGAGACGCGAACCCACAACCTTTGGGTTATGAGTCCGACTCTCTAACCATTAGGCCACGACTTCCCCAAAAAAGAGATGGCAGTGCTTGAAGATGAATACGAGAAAGTACTTGTGATAGCATTTTGCTTTCCTTAATGTAATATCTGATTTGTGGATGAATAATGGGCTCATTTATTAATAAGCTCTGTTTTTTGGGATATATCTAATTTTGTGGAGGGGGGGGATCTTCTGACCAGCTGGATCTTCATAGTCTGGCGGAGCTACAAAGTCAAGGAGTTCCTCACACGGACGACTCCCCAAAATACTGTTACAGTCTGGGGACTGATGGAAAATATGGTAATGGAGGGTGAAAAGATAATGTCAGGCAGTTAAATATTTACCGCACAGTGACACGCTAAAAAACACTCGGAATACTTTGGTGACCGCACAGCGACACACTAAAAAACACTCTGAACACCTCGGTAACCGCACAGCGACACGCTAAAAATCACACGGAAACACCTCGGAAACCGCACAGCGAAACACAAAAAAACAATCTGACCA